TTGGCAACTGACTTATTTTGTACTGTTGCAAATTGGTACTAAAATGCAGGACCTCCTAGCTTTGAGTTTGGTGTTTAAACGTCTAGAGGAGGCCATATCGTCTCTGCAACACTGCATACAAACAGCGTACAGACAAACACCTTGTAGACATAAAATAATCTCTCTGATACTAGCTGACAGCTACTATCATATTTTAAATCTAGCTGCATCAAAATAAGCATGGATACCAAAACACGTGTGCATAAACGTAGGCTAATATACTACTTTATATTAAAGTTTTTTCAGTTCAAGTAGGCGTTTATTTCAGCTCTTGCTCAAAAGGGAATTCTGGAGCATAGTTTAAATTTGAACATCTCCAACCGCATTCAGTGGTTGAGGAAGCAAGCAAATACAACCAAGCGCAACAGTACATGCAATAATTTTATAGCTTAGCATTAAATTCTCCTCAAGGGCCCAATAGCTTTAGCTGCTTTTACATATAGTGTCCTAAACGCAAATATCTACATTCAAAAATTAATTTGGACTTGGGGAAATTTACATTCTCATAAGGATGAAGATAAGTTTATGCAACTCAATGACAGTTGCTGTCACCTCATGGGGAGAGATGCCTTAAACGCCAGCAACGAAGTCTGCCAGTGACTTCCTCGAAACTGAACCAGCTGGGGCAGCCATGAACTAAAGAAAGAGGAACATAAAGCATTAGCAAGGTCTGAAGGTCTGATAACCTTAATTTGGCAAGCTATACAAACTATTCATTAAAGTCATAACGAATAATGATGAGTTTTTAATCATCTTTGACTATTTAAGCCATAACAGGATATGGCATTAACCCGGAGATAAATTAACCTCTTCAACCAGGTAACTGAACCCAAACTTTGGACTGTTCAACGCTGTCAATCCAGAGGAGTCCGAGGAGCAAAACAGATAACTTATTTTAAGTCTAAGAATGGATTTAAGTAATTTTATTCTAAGATTCACATAGCGGTCTCCTCAAAGGACTCATTCTGGAGAATTAAAGTAATCTTAGTTTCAATCAGAACCACAGAGAGAGGAAGTTTCCCAGACCTCAGAGGATGTCACGAAAGGAAGATGACCTGCTAACGGGTCGAAGCACCAGCTCCTCACGTCGGCTCACCGAGCGCAGGCCTGCACACGCCACCTCCCGGCCACCGACCCCGAAGCGCAGGCCCAGGC